AGTAACGGGCCGGGCCGAACCGGTCCAGTCCAACCCTACGTCCAATACATGATTGAGGCTACCACAAGGCTAGCTATCAATTACTTTAGTTAATTTTGCATGTCTTAGTTTTATAATATTTGTTCAGTACATTGTTTCTTTTTTCCATGTCAAAGCTAGTGGAGTGATGGTGGTTGTTTGGCGTGTGTTTATGTGTGTTCGATTGGAAGAAAGTAGTCAGGCTTCTATGGCAGATTCCGCTTTGAATTTCTCGCATGTTGAACGATTAATCTTACTAATTTTTTAACAATCCATCGATCATAGATTGAGAAGACTTTTATTGATTTTCTGAAAACTTTATGTATATAAGGGATACTAATATTTTAAAAAAACGTCATCTCACCCTACTTGAATGGCAAAAGATCAAAACAAAACAAAACAATAAATAGACTAGATTAGACCTAATCAAATCAAAGTTTGGATTTGACAATTGTAGAATATACCTGAAATAAACATCTATAATACCAGTTTAAGTAAACTTGACTGAACTTGAATAAATTAGACTAAATTAAAAATGTAATTAAAAACGTCCCGAGACATAAACTTATTGGTTACGGAAAGGAAGAAGCTGGAGTCGAGTCCACGGCGACGTGTTTTGGGTTGAGATGTCACAATATTTGGTGGCATTCAGAATTCGCTCTTTATTTTATTTTACTTTATTTATCACTTTCTCTTCTCAGTCACGCAATCCATTCCATGTAGTGTAGATACATATATACATAGAACATGTATACTGGCACGACAAGTCTTGAGAAATCGAGCGGTTTTCTGGTCAGAATTTATTAACGTGATAGATCTGTGATTTATAGTTCCTGATCGATCTGGCAGTAATTAATTAACTGAAGCTTCCATCAAATTACTCCAACAATGGCTTCGAAGTTGGTAATGGTGTGTATCTTTGCGTTTGATCTTATTGCTTTCGGTTTAGCTATTGGAGCTGAGCGGAGAAGAAGTACGGTAAGCATTCCCTCCCAAAACCATATCGATGTTCAGAATTACTTCAAAATTCGAATAATAATGGCTTTGTTTGAGTCACCAAATGTGGCATTCATATGTTATATCTATAACTCTTGCATGAACACTTTTTTTTCTATAAAGATTCGAATAATTGAATTACACGCATTACCACCCCGGCTTTCTTTATTCACATGATTTTAATTGGTGTTTCAAAACTTTAATTCTACTTGATTACTTTCCCTGCCTCTTTATAAGCTTCTTATTAGGCCGGGCCCGACCCAGTTAAATCCAAGTCTAGGCCGGTTCCTGCACCTGGTCCGTCCGGACCCGGTCCCAATCTATTTTTTATTCATTTCCCCATGTTTCCAAGCCAAAAAATAGCAGGTCTGGGATAAAAAACGAGACCGGAATTGCCCGATTCGGTCTCCAAATGGGTGATCTGGGACCGAGTAACATATTTGGCGGACCCTGAATGGTCCTGAAGTGCATGGGCGGAGCTAGGGGTGGGCCAACCTAGGCCATGCCCCACCCCAAATTTTACAAATGGCTTAATTTTTAAGGTAAAAAAATTCGTGTAAAATTTTTTCAAAAAGTATTCTTTGTACTGGCCCAGTGCTCTAGCTCCGCCCCTGCTTAGGTGGGAATAGTTTGGCTGAGTCATGTTTGTGCTAAACCTCAAAAAGGGCAAGATTTTTGTGAAATCCAAAAATTACTCACTAGAAATCAGGTTATGATTTATGAAATCAGGTTTTAGTATGATCAATTAAAGCTTGGATGAGAAATCACCACACTCTTTTTTTAAAACATGTTTTCAAATAAAATTAGTTACAAATACAAATCACACAAAATAACACTAATAATAATCTCCAAAGACCAAAATCACAAATAATTCAAATCCAAACAATAGAATTTGTCTTAATATTGCATTTAAGATGCGCATATGATCGAATAAATAGTATTGGTGTATTGTGTTGGCTTTATATTAAGGGTAATCATTTCAAGTTTGGCCGATCCGAGCGGGTTTTATATTTGTAGGAACCAGCCAGAATTTTCGGGTTCGATCCAGTGTTCAAGTTTCAATTCGGTTTTTGTTACCCCTAACTCAGTGTAATATTAGTGGAATTTTTTTATTTCTTAATTTGCACAAGTTTAACCAAAATTTTATGATGAATCGAGTAAATAGTGGAGGTGAAAATGCTATTACTGGGACAGGAAAGGGAATAACTACCTCATTTGCTCATTAAAAGGTCTCTAATTTGATTTGTATAATTTTTAATAAATCATATACGCTTTTCCAAAAAAAATCAAATGCGTAGTAATGGACTTCCAAAGAGTGGTCTTTGATATAGGGTTGAGAATACTTTAATATTGTGGTAGGTGATTGTATTGAATAATTTAAGACTTTTATATTGGTCAAACAAGACCAAGATGAGTTTCATATGCTTTGGCCATTTCCAAATCAATCAACTTTTATTTTCGAACTACACTTGATTTGATTAATGTCCCAAGGACAAAATCAAGTTTGATTTGATAATGTCAACACAGTTAATGGATTAAGAGAAATTGAGTTTATTTGCAGGCTACAATTCAAATGGATGAGGAAAAAAACTACAGCTACTGTGTGTATGACTCAGACATTTCAACTGGTTTTGGTGTCGGTGCTTTCTTGTTCCTAATGGCAAGCCAAGCTCTTATAATGATAACTACTAGGTGCTTCTGCTTTGGAAGGGCTCTGAACCCTGGAGGTTCAAGGGCATGTGCTGTTATTCTCTTCATTATCTGCTGGTATGAATGCATATAAAAACGCGGTTACATTTTACGTTTTTATAAGTGTACCGCTTACATTTCTCACACAAAACATTCACATCTGCATTATATGTTGCATTTATATGTTCTTATAAACAAATTTTAGGGTGATGTTCTTCATTGCGGAGGTATGTTTGCTGGCTGGTTCAGTGAGGAATGCATATCACACCAAGTACAGATCATCGTACCTGATCAACGATCAGCCGCTGTCCTGTGAGACTGTGAGGAAGGGGGTGTTTGGAGCTGGAGCAGCCTTTGTGCTCTTCACTGCCATAGTCTCCGAGTTCTACTATGTTTCCTACTCCAAAGCCAGACGTAGTGTTGGACCATATGGCGGAGACATTGGTGTCGGTCTCGGGCCGTACAAATGAGCTTTTGTCTTTATATAAAAGATGCACTCCATTCCAGAATGAGGTTACGGGTTACTAAAAATGTTAGACTGAGCTGAAATCACAAAATAAAAGTCGGGGTGAGCTTTTATTTGATTATTACACTTATGAGAGGTCGGTCTTTCACTCAGACTGGTTTTGTTTTTGTTTACGGTCACGCCAATTTCCATCATTTCCGTTACACTGTCTGTTTGGAAGTAGAATCTTTGTTAATGATACTGCATGTTTTCCTATGTTTTTGTTGTTTCCATAGCCTGATAGGCATTAGTTTAAAAGACGAGTAAGAAATTAGAAGTGACGACAAAAGTTGAAGCAAAAAATGGGTTGCCCTTTTTACAGTTTTCAACACCTTTGAAGCAATACATGTCTTATTATCTTTTAAGGATAAACAGCAAAACCAAAAAGATATTTTTGAAACCTAATTATAAACCACCACTGTGCAAGAAATAACCAGAAGAGTGGAAAAATTTGAAAGAGAAGTTGAATGAAAACCCTACCAAGGAAAGAACGAATCATCAGCAATAATAAATAAAAATTTAGGTCATATGAGTATACTTTTTTTTTTTGAGAAATCATGAGTATACTGTTAAAACCAAAATACAAATAACTTTCAAAAGAAGAAAGTAAAGATGGAAAACTGAAACACTTCCAAATTTGTTTTGACGTACAACCTTTGAAAAAACAATAGGAGAAGACATTTAGAGAAACATTTAACTAATAGGACAAGATAATGAAAAACCAGCCAATATTTTGAAAGGGGGCAAATTTATAGTGATACTATTCAAATTTGAAAACCAAAGAGGCAAAGAGATGATGGTAAATCAAAACACCTCCTAAAAAAATAGACATAAAAACCATTAGGCCTAATGAAAAAAGAGGAAACTTGACAGACATATGCTGCAACACTTGTCCAATTTAACAAGACATGTATTGGGGATATTAGCCCAACAACACCCAGGAAAGCCCAAGAATGTAACCTAGTGTTACATTCGGTCCCAACTCGGGTTTCCGACATGACCCTAATGGATGGCCCAATATATATGGTCAACTCACACCATGCGAGTGTAGTAACCTAATGCCTGCTCAGCAGGTCATATGGGAGTTTGGGACAATTAGTAGGAAGACCCCCACCCCCCCCCACCCCACCCTGGACACCACGAAGAACACAACGCTCGGCCAACATTTTTTTGGCGGGAAACCCAGTTTGGCAGGAAGAAGATTTATGCATAAATTTGGCTAGATGTCAAGATAGATTACCAAGAAAATGGAGAGCTGTCACGCTGACCCCTCAGCCACCTCATACAACTGTAAATGCTCCCTCATAACTCCTTTTGAGGGGTTGCTTCTTGCATTTCATACTTCTTTCATTGTAGCAAGTTCATCGGTTAGTGGATATAGTCTAAGGATGTTTTTACTTGGACTGTAATTCGTCCCAGACCAGATCAGACCAAACTTGGATAGTTATAAAAATACAAAAATTCCAGCCTAGCAAATTACATTCTAAGTAAAAACATCCTAAGTTTGAATACAAAAGCTATCTGAGTGTGTTGTAAGTGCAAGGTTAATTATACCGATCCCAATACAGAGGCTTCGAGCTCTTCCATTTCGACTCTTATTTATTAGTTTCACTATCTAATCCAGACAAATAACCCCAACATTTGTGTTTTGGCCTTTCAGGTTGAGGTAATCAACCTGAGCAACATGAAAATGAGTAGATACACCGTAGTTTGTAAAGAAAAGAGTTTATAGAAACATTTCCCAAAACGAAAAGTAAAATGAACTCCATACAAATGCAAGTAATAAAACCTAAGCACATCATCCATTTCCATACAAAATAAAAGAAATTGAGAGCAGACCAGAAAATACAGTTCGTTACAGTGGTGGAGTTGATTCTCAGGCTCTCAGTCAAGGATGTGACAAGACACCTAGCAAAAATGAAAAGCGGGGCTTCGAATTTTCAATAAAGCATAAGTGAGGATGGAAATCTAATGGTTTGTTTGATTCGAGGATTTTGGAGGGGAGGTAAGCAGAGGATTGATATGCATTTTTTTTAATTCAAGTCCACACTTAGCTGGTTGTAAAGAACTATAGTCTATAGACAAAAGCAGATAATTTAACTAATCAAACACTTATTTCTATTTTAAAACTAACAAATGAAGAAAAATATATAAAATAATAAAGAACAATCCTCCCATTCCCTTCCCTCCAAAATCCCCGAGGCATACAAGCCCAGGATATACCTAATTTTAGGACGACTAGTGGGGGAGGAAATGCTGCAGCCCAAAATCAAATGTGCAAAAACAACAATTCCTACAAACCTAGATAGTGGGGTCCTGACTCCTTATATATACCAAAACCTAGCAGTTTTGGTCAATCAAAAAAAAAAGTACAAGTCAATAAGAACAGGAGATTTTTCGTCAGTTGGGCCAACAGAGTAACCAGTCATGTTGCTACAAGGCCTTCTGCAGAAGAAAAAATCTTCACAAATCACTTCGCAGGCAGACAACAAATTAAAAAATTCATTTCTTATTGAGGTATTGAATCTTGATTAATTGAGTTTCTATTGCCACTTTTCCAGATATGATTATCCAGACAGCTTTAGAAAACAACAGTGCTCAAAGAGTGCTGGATGAAATTCCAGCATTTTCTCCATATCCACAGCTGCAAAACATCCATAACCATCCGGCATGAAATTACACTTTCCATAGGCTTAACCCTCTCCTAACTATATCATTTGGAAACCTCAGGCCATAGAGCTCCAAACGTAACAAGAATCCTTACAAAGGTTTCAGCGTTTACATATATCAAACTTCCGCATCAGTTCTATGCCCTCTGCAATAGTTGAACCAGTAGTTCCCACAAAACCAAGAGAAGCACAGCTACATATTGTTTCCTCTATGTATAATAGCACGTCAGGCAATGTTTGACTCTTCAGATTCTCCTGAACTTTGATAAAACGCTTTGAAAAGGACCTAAACTTCATACCATGGTTCGCATTCAGGATACTCCCAGCAGTTTCTGTGACCAGGTTGTCATTTTTTACAAGGACAAACAGTTTAATCCTTGAATCTTTTGATATATCACCCAAATAGCTCCCAGTCCAATTAGACATGGGAAGGTCAGTCATCAGAAACACATGAACAGAGTTAGGTCCAGTTTGTTTCAAATATTCTAACCTATGCTTCAACTCTTGGAAAGTAGCTCTCCAGTGGTTCTTGAATTGCCCATCTAGTAGCCTAAGCTGAGCACAAAGAAAAGGTGCTTTAATTCTATTATCAACAAACGTCTTCCCAGCATGAAGAATTTCTGGAACAAAGGGAAGGTATTTGATCTTCATGATGAAGGAATCTATCCTTTTATCATTAGGAGCTTCATGGATATCGATGTGAGACTCCGAACCCTTATAAAGGGAAGTAAAAAGGCTTCCAAATGCAAGAATTTTGGATGATCCAGGAAAAGAGCCAGGTCCTAGGGTCTTGTATACATCTCTCCTTCTCCTAACAAAGGCAATTTCTTTTTTCTTCTTGAGTTTCTCATCTGGTTGAAATGAGTCTAAACTACCTTCTTCACTGTCTTTTTGGTATATCCAGACCGCTGTCCGGCAATCCTCATCTACAGCATACAAACAACTATCTAAATTGCCATATTGTCCAGACAGAAAAGACCCACATTCATTTAGTCTTTGTAGCAATGAAGGTTGGGCCTTTTGGTCTCTATAGCATAAGTGATCCGGTTTCACACCACACCATTCATGCACAAAATCTCTAAAATCCACAACACTTACTGCTGAACCCGACACAGTAACTGAAATGTCAACAATATCGGCCATAGAAACATATCTGCAACAAGAAAATGAGCAATATGATAAACAAAGAGCCTTACCTAATAAGCTTCCATTATAAACAGGTTTAGTTCATTCCAACAATTACATGTAACAAATCAGTGTAAATCTCTTTACAGAAAATCGTCTTTGTATAGAATCGTATAGAGCATAACAAATCATAACAGAGGACACCCTTGAAACAAACAAAAGTATGGCATGACATAGCTTCAATATAAGTAAAATAGGTATAATGGGCATATATTAGTTTTCTATGTTGTGCCATAATAAACTGACTTGCCTGCAATTACGCAAGAGCTCAACACTATGATTCCAAACAGCGAATCTCAAGTCAGGGGGGCTTAGAACCCTGAATTTGGGGCAGCTTCCCAGAGCAACGGCGTGATGATCGAGAATGGGAGGGACAACCAGGGTTCGATTTAAAATCGCAGCCATTAGAAGGGCGTTCTTGAATTCGGCAAGCTGGTTGCTGAATCCACTGTGGGGAGCGTACCAGAGGAACTTCTCTCTGGAGGAGGAACCGCATCGTAACGTACTGAATGCCGAGGAAATTCTGGAAAGTGGAAGTTCAAACGGAATAACGAAAAAACGTCTGAAGTAGAAGAAGAGGAGAAGGATAGAGGAGATTACTATAACGGTGATAAGTGCAGATCTTGGAGTGTGAAGAGAAGCTTTCTTCTTCCATCTGTGGGCTCCCCTGATATTCGCGGCTTCCATGTCTGCTTCGTCTATCTCTCAGCGATTTCGCAAATTTCATACTGATCTGTCTGAAGTCACGGGTCTTGGAAGGGCAAGATCGATCACCAGAACTTGACAGTTGAGACGGTGTACAATTTTGACAGATAAGGTACCCATTTTTTAAATAATTCAAAGTTCAGTTGAATTATTTAAATGCATGACAGATACAGTACCCCATTTTTTAAATGGGTACAGTAGTTGTCACCATTTAATAAAAACATAAACTCATGACATGTTTATAATTTGAGGGGGAAACTATCAATTCGCCCTGGTACTATAGGCGAACGTTCCAAACAATCAATTGAGAGTCTGTCCACCGTACAACCGGCTGTACGGTGAGCACCGTACAGCCGGTGGCATTTTTGTAATATAATATGAAAAGCGTGGTTTCTGCTAAATGAGCATTAGTGTAATGCTAATGAGCAATTGTCCAATTTTAATGAGTATTAAGAGTCTAATAATGAGCACCGTGTTATTACAAGAAAAGCTGACATCACAACTAAAAAACGGTGGCATTTTCGTAATTTTAGTGAAAATCGTAGTTTTCGCTAGATGAGCATTATTACACCTTTTATGAGCATCAAACGTATTCTCCTGAGCATTAAGTATCGAATAATGAGTATTGTGATATCAACTTCATATATTTTAATTCACTTTCTTTTTCTTATTTTTTCTTTTATAAAAACTCATTACATTTTATCTATAATCAATTCCTATGAATTTCAATATGCGAATCTAATATAATATGATACTTTTGAAATATGCATTGTTATGACATTTTTAAAGTGAGCATAATAAAAGTACCAATTGAGCACACATAATTTACAAAATGAGCATCAACATGAAAGTCATTAGTTTTTTAGTTGAGCATTGACACATTTTCATTGAGAATCAAACATCCTCTATTAAGTATTAGAAAAATGGAATTGAGTATATATCATGGTTTGATATAACATTTTAAAATGAGCATAGGACCAATTAAGATGAACATAAGTAACTTACAAGCTTCTAACTTGTAAGTTACCTATGTTTGATTTTCTTTCTTGAATTGAGTATATATCATGGAAGGGAGTATTAGTACTATAAGCTTCTTATAGTGGGAAGTAACAAAATAAGAAAAGAAACGAAGAGAAAAGAAAAAAGCTTAAAGCAATCCTGATGCCCAGGGAGCCGCAGCAAAGAAAAAAGATTACCGTAAGAAGAAGAAAAGGTTACATAGTGGGAAGCTGGGAGCACGTTACGTATATAATAGTCTTGGATTTCAAATATATTACAAAAATACTCGGTTTGTACCATGCTCAGGTACAGCCGGTTGTATGATATATTTTACCATCAATTGAGTTTGTCAAGTCTCCGAAAACGTTCAAGTAAGATTATGTTTGGCATGTCACTTCAACTCAAAAAGGCTGAAATTCTATAAATCCAGCTAATTATTTTAAAAGTGGGCCTGTTTGGACAATTAGCTTAAGTGAGCTTAAACTGAAAAAATCCGACTGAAATGAAACGTTGCTCAACCTAACGTTTCTTTCAACCGGTCGCAAGTAGACCTTCAATACCAATTCTATCATTGGGCGTATTTTGCAAATCGATGCAGCAATATTTGTTGTTGCTGTCATTCCAAGAGTCTGCTACCAATTTTTCTTTTAGCAAGAATATGTATCTTTTTGTTTCAATTAATGTACGATCAAGGAATTTATTCAGGGTTTGAGTTTCATATTAGAAGTTTTTTCCCCTTTTTAGGGTGCAAATACATTTAAATTAAATTAATAATTTAATTTATAAAATTCCTGAATTGATAAAATTCCTAAAATTAAATTTTCTTCGTTACCTACTGCTGCTTATAGATGAAATTTTTCTTAAAATTTATTTGAATAATACGACACTGTTTTACAAAAGGAAAAGTATGGGTGTATGGGACGAACTTTACGTATATAAATACATATGCAATATTACCACAATCTTAATTTTTAATAAAATATAAAAACCTCATTCAAAAAAATATAAAAACCGTTAAATAAAAATATTTTATCCAATTAATTAATAAATCATATGCCCATCAATATTAGTATGGGTGCAATCATTTTGTATTTTAAATAAAAAATATTTTATCCTACATTACTAATTGTCTTCCGGTTTGCCCGTTGCTCACTGACGTGACCGCTTAGGTGGCAGTCCTGCGTGGCAATTTTTTCTCTTCCTTATTTTCTTTTTCCTTATTCTTTTCCCTTTTTCATTTCCTTTCTTTTCTTCTTTCTCTCTTCTTGTTCTCTTCCTTCCCGGATCCCAGGTACCCCGGCCTCCTCCAACTTAAATTTTCTTTTTGCTTTTCTTTATTCTCAGATGTAGATCTGTTCATTTCAGTTCCCGTTCGTATAGATCTGTTTTACAAGAGGAGAGAAATTCAGGAAATTCCAGCCATCTTCATAACTGCAAGTCTGCAATTACCATCGCAAGGACTTGCATAAGCCATAGCTGGATACTACGTTGCCATCTCCAGGAACTGCACCCGCCATCGCCGGGGACTTTTAATTGCCGCCGTCCTCCTACCGTCATCTTTTACATTCTACTTGTGCTCGATGCCCTTAGGTGAAATCCTCGCGGCTCCTCTTTCTCAACCCCCCATGTCCTCTCTCTATAGCTCTTCGGACATAATTCTGTAAAAAAAAACGACGCCGGTTATGGAGCATGTTGGGGAAGGAACTGGAGGATAGGGGAGGATGGGAAAGGATAGGAAAAGAGAAAGAGGCTGGTGTGTTAAAAAAAGTGACTCAGCTTTATTAGACAGGTAGATGACTACCACTGATAAGTGCGTATTTAGGCACGCATTTGATGCGTGTTGGGATCGGCTTTTGATGGTTTTCCCAAATTTAAGGTGTTACAAGTCTCAATTTTAGCTCAAGTTAAGTTTACCAGGCGTTGGCTCGAGTTTTGTGTTGTTTGGAGTCAAAATCAGGAATTTAGAGTCTGGCACCGACGCTTGAGAAGCAATCGGGAAGAGTTAGAGGGCATTTGAGAAAGATTTGAGAGTTTTGGAGGCCACCGGGAGGTTCACGATGAAGATTTGATGAAGAAAAGGCCTTTGGATTGATCAAGGAAGCATCCAGGAGCATTTGGAGCGAGAAACGAAGAAAAATGTTGAAAAACATGCTCGGCACGGTCCTGCCCAGCCTTAGGCACAGTCGTGCCTATGGAAGAGTCATGTTCCGGATCGCTGGATGATCAGGCACGCCGTGCCTGAAGAAGAGTCACGTACCTGATCCCTGGAATGCCAGGCACGGTCGTGCCTAGCAGAGAGGCACGCCGTGCCTGGACGCGAATTGACGTGCTGCTTCCACAGGCACGGTCGTGCTTGGCGCCGTGTCTGGCCCCGTTTTTCCCAGTTCAGCTCAAGTTTTACCTATTTTCTATAAATAAGGCCGCTATTATCCTGTTTAAGGGTTACGAACATTACAAAGAGACCTAAGGACGAATTTATCTGCATTTTTTCGATGTTTTCCCTAAGACCCTGAGATTATTTGTAAGTTCAAATCTTTTTAATTAATGACAATTAATTCTATTCATCATAATTCTGTTGATCTTCAATTATGAATTGTGAGTAGTTTAATTAGGGATTTGGGATTGATGAAAGGGGTTGACCATGATGTATGGCTAGTTTCTTGATGGATTAATTGCATGAATGCCGTTTAATTTGTGTTTGAATAATTTAACTGATATCTCTTGTAACCTAGACTACAGCTAGAATTACAATTGTTTGTAGAATAAATTAAGAGAGATCTAAGCTCAAAAAAAAATTAAAAGAGATCTAATTTATTCTAGGACACATCCACACACATTTAATCGTTCTCTAAGAGATTAGTAACGATTAAGGGACCGTAAGCTCGATCGTATTGGCAATAATTTAGGATCCTGAATGTCACATGAGAGATGAGCCTGACCTCTAAATTATTGTACTCTACGCCGCGAGAGCGGTAAGAACTTAGTAATGATTAGCTAGGCTCAATTAAATCAATTTCATGTAATTAAGCCCGATCTGCCATAAATCTGGTTACCCCGGAATCAATCTATGTTCCTGTAAGGAATAAATGTAATTAGATTTTGATGATGCTATAGGATTAGAAAGTTAGAGTACCCCCAAATTAGATTTTATGTATTAGAATTTTCAATTGTAAGTATTAGTGTAGTCGACGATCAGAGTTGCTCTACTTTGGATCAGATCAGAAGTGCATCAGAATTGCTCAACCAGACTTGCTCTATGAGAACTGCTCCATCAGAGTTCTCTCAGCAGAAGTCCATCAGAGTTGCACTATGAGAGTTGCTGATAAACCTGGACATCTGATAGCCGATAAGAACTACAGATCAGAAGTACTCATCAAGCGGACCTATCAGAGTCAGAGTTCAGTCAGAGATCAGAACTCCATCAGAACTCAACTTATCAGAAGAACCTGATCAGAGCCCGACGAACACTTAGAAAATTTCAAGCAACATCCAACAGCTCTGAATTCAACGGGTAAAAACATCCAACGGCTAGAAGACTGTGCATGAAAGGAAAGCATTTAATGCACATTAAATGAGCCTGATACGCTGAAGGATTGATTGCAAATGATTGACCAAAGAATCCGGGAAGATATATTATAAAAATAGAAACCTTCCAAAACGGCGGTCAAGTCAACTGTACGCGCATTTAATGCAGTTGTCTCCTCCTCCAACGGGCAGACAACCTCAGTATATAAGCTACACACCGAAGATCAGGAAAACAACTTGGCTACAACTTTTGCACATCATCATACAAGCTCTCTTGAGATTAAAATTTCTACAACCTTCAACAAGACAAGCTTACGTTGGGAAGATTCAAACTCCAAATCTCTCATCCCCAACAAACAAGCAAAGTTCATCCTGTTCTTCAACACTTCAAGAACTTCATCAAACATCATTTGTAACGAAGCAAGTTGGAGGAAAAACTCTGTTTTTCAAAGGATCTTCTGAAAAGAAGGGCGTCCAAGTAACTGCAGTAGTGAAGTGGTGATACTTCCGGGAAGCTGAGTGAAAGGATCAGCCATCAAGACGTGGAACTGCATCCTGGGTGGCATCTAGGCTTGAAGAAGACGAGGAGTGC